AAAAAAAAAAAAAAAAAGAACGCTTGCAATATAATGTTAATGGAAAAGAGCAGAATAAATTATGTATGCAATATGAGAACAGTTACACAAAAAAGAAAAGAAAAACCTTATTATTCATTGATACATATCACAAATGTTAACAAGGGTTGCTTTGTAGCTAGCTTTCACTTTTGACTATTCTATTTTTTTTCTTAATGTAAAAAAAATAATAGACTTGCAAAGTTGGGGAGAAAGTGCAATTTATTGTCATGTTCTGACAAAGAATTATTACGTGGTCTCCATTTTCCCATTTGTTCATTATTGTCATTGGATTATTAGATTTTGATAAAATAACAATTAACAAGTGCATTGTCTGAATTATTTAAGAACTTAGTATGTATTGTATCTACCAATATAAAAAGCTGTTGTACATGTAGAGTAGGTAGGATGATGAAATTTTTAATTTATAAGGAAACCAAGACATAATTATTTTAGTTGTAGTCCTACAAAGTGGTAAAATACCCTTTGCTTGAACTTAAATACATTTATTTTCCTATCTTAAAAGCTTTGTTTTTTACTTTGTTTTAATCCTTGAATTTATAGGGGTTTCCTGCAGAATTTGCCATGTACTTAAACTATTGTCGTGGGCTGCGCTTTGAAGAAGCCCCAGATTACATGTATCTGAGGCAGCTATTCCGCATTCTTTTCAGGTCAGTTTTTTTTTTAAAGTATTTTTAAACCTCTAAACTCCAGTGAGGGAACTTACCTAAATTTATCTAACATATTTATTCTGATAAGTGGTAAACAAAAGTAATGCAGATCTAACCGGTATAAATAAGTTACAAGAAGCTGGTTTGGGGGAGCTGATTGGGTATTTTTGTATTTGTGGTGCAAATATACTTGAGATGATTTTAGTTTGGAGTGAAGAGAACAACTGAATCAAAGTCAAAGCAGAAGTTAGCTTTTCTAAAATAATTGTAATTTATGTTAGATAAAAGTGGTTGTTGGTGCCCCCTGGAATGTTCCCAACTTTGGTACCAAACTATGTTCAGTACTAATAAGAAAGCAATTAAGATATCACTTAATGTTGGCATCTAACAGTTTGGAAGCGATCCTAAACTCTAGAGTTCCTTAGGTACAATCCAGAATTAGTCTTAAACTTAAGGAGGAACAAATAGATTACATATGACTCAAACTCTCAGTTGGAAGAGGGTGAGAATTGAGGTAATCCTTTAACCCCAAGTCTTTTCCTGGGCATCAGCATTCCTCTCATAAACTTCTAGTTCTATACTTCTAGGTAGAGATTTCCAGGAAGAACCTTTTGTTGTGACTATCACCCGAGGTAATTGACAGCTTGGCTTAGTGCTTTACTTACAGGCTTTCACTGCTGTTCAACCTGCCCCTTTTAAGGAAGTTTATAGGCAGTTTTTGTTTTAAATAGGGGCACTTATTTTTACCCAATACAACATACTAGAGTGGTTACATCATTTTCCCTCATTGATAAGTTATAAAAGGTAGAGCTGTTTTATCAGACACTGTTAAAAAATTACCTATTTTTTAGAAGAGAAAAATTTTTTGGAGGCCACCATGCTTAAAGAGAAAATATTCATGATAACTCAGTAGGTGACTTAACTAGGCTGTGTATTATTAAAAGATTAATAAATGGTTTTATATTTTCTAGGACCCTGAACCACCAATATGACTACACATTTGATTGGACAATGTTAAAGCAGAAAGCAGCACAGCAGGCAGCCTCTTCCAGTGGGCAAGGTCAGCAGGCCCAAACCCCCACAGGCAAGCAAACTGACAAAACCAAGAGTAACATGAAAGGTTAGTAGCCAAGAACCAAGTGACGTTACAGGGAAAAAATTGAATACGAAATTGGGTAATTTATTTATTTCTAACAGTGTTAGATCAAGGAAGTGGTTTTAAAATACATAAAAATTTGGCGCTGTGGTTTTTTTTTAAAAAAAAAAAAAAGACGTCCTTGGAAAATTTGACTACTAACTTTAAACCCAAATGTCCTTGTTCATATATATGTATTTGTATATACATATATGTGTATATATTATATCATTTCTCTTGGGATTTTGGGTCATTTTTAACAACTGCATCTTTTTTACTCATTCATTAACCCTTTTCCAAAATAAATATTTGGTGTTGGGAATATAATGTAATATATAATCAATCCAAAATCCTAGACCTAACACTTGTTGATTTTTAATAATGAATCTGGTTAGCCGTGGTTTTTTACTTTCTTTCAGACTAACAGTGTTAAGTATGTTTTGCATGTTAATGCTTTAGTATTTTAAATGGAAAATTGTAAAGATTTAATTTCAAGAGGTGAGTCTGGCATTGCCCTCAAAGTGTCTATCTTCTCAGTTGCAGAGCATCTCATTTATTTTCTTAAATGCTCAAATAACTGCAAAGCTTGGCACAGCTTTCCTAGTAACAAAAATAAATTTGTCATATTTAGAATTTAACAACATGATCTTAACTTTGCAATGATTTTTTTGTTTGTTTGTTTTTAAAAGTGTTACAAACCTTAGGGTCTAGGTATCTGATGTAGAGTTGAAGTCTGCAGTTAGGCCTTGCAAATTGAAGATAACTGAGGCAAATGCCATTGAACATGCTCTGTTTCATTTCTGCTATTCTCTAGCACTCTTATTGCTGTGAGGAGTGGAGCTGTTATGGCACAGCTTCATTTCTTATCACTGTTGCCATATAGTTCAACTCCTGCTTTCATGTTGTTTGTTTTTCTTTTCCCCTTTCTGGGGCCTACCCTCTTATACCTGCCTACCTTCTGGAAGTAGTGGGCAGGTAAGGTTTAGTTTCTAAGTTTTTAATTTCTGAATGACTGCTCTAGTCTGAACTTGGCCTGCACAAGTTAATCTTTGGTTCGTATTTTTAGTGTTGTATTTAAACAAAATTATAATTTAAAAATAATTACTAATCTGAGGATACTTTAACTGATGTCATCCTCATCCCAGCAGCTCATCTGTTAGGAATGAAGTTGAGATGCTTCCCTTCCATGTTTTTCTGTATTTGGGGAGGATTCAAAGTTAAAGGTTTAATGTAGTGGGTATTCTCAGCTAATGAAACTCAAGCTCAGGATAGCAAACACTAATGCTCTGCCTATGTGTCTCATTTGGAACTTAACTGCCCCCTTTTAGCGTTGTAATCATTGTGCCAAGAAGTTAGATAGATAAGTAATGATAGATATATAATGTCACTGAGAAATGGTCCTGCTGTGTACATGAGACCAGGTACAATCTCTAAAGTGAGGACTTGATACCTATATTGTTTTCACAAATGAAACCAGTTTTTTGCCTACAGCTAGCTGGGATAATAGGATCATCACGAGTTGGAGTTTCTGCAACTAAAATTAGATTGAAATCTGACCTAGAACATTTCACTTCAGGCATTCAGCAGCCTTCAGAAAGAATCACCTTTTTATGAACTAGTTCCATTGTTTACTGTTTATCTCTTAATAAATAAGCAGAATTCTTATCCTGCTTTATCTAGGTCTTAAAGATGAGAAGTTGGATCCACTGAGTTAGTATGTTTCCTTGAAAAAAAGTTGTAATTAAACTTAACCTTAATCCTTATTTTGTATTGTAGCTATTTTTCATAAGAGCAACTAAAAATTTTACAGCAATTATATGACATTGATCATATAATGACAGTAAGTTGACACCCAAAGGACTATAACAAACTGGTCAACATACAGAACTAGGCCTACTATACTGATATGTACATATGGCGCATTGTTGGTCTATGAAAATTAGGTCAACTTGAGGTGGTGGTAGCTGTAGGAAGTTGGTCAACTATGGAGGTTCTATAGTATTTCATAAATATAAAAAGTATAAAAATTATAAAATTTTTAAAACTTGTAAAATTCTGAAAAACCAGGCTTTTCATAAAATATATTACACATTATTGACTGACTACTTTTAGAGATAGATTTCCAGGTGACATATTTTGATTTCAAGCAAAATACCACTTGCTACTAAAATGTGCCACTTGACTGAATACAAACAACAAAATCCTCTTTGCTCTTTGATTTCTTGAGAATATCTGTATCATTTTTAGTACAGAACTTAGTGCATAAAACCCTCTATAAAAACCATGAAAATGTGGCTAGGTATAAGGGTGGCATGAATTAAGCATGAGAAGCCCATTCCCCTAACCTCTGTCCTCAGCCTAGTATCTGGTTCATCCCTTAGGTGGGAAATTTTAGGAAGTCTGAAGTTTGAAAACTGCTCTGAGTTATTCCTGATTCCAGTCTCTGAGTAGTAAGGGTGTTGACAAGCATAATATCTTGGGGTCTACTTTTTTTTTTTTTTTTTTTTAATGACAGTCTCACTCTGAATGAGACTAGAGTGCCATGGCATCAGCAATCTATCTCATAGCAACCTCAAATTCCTGGGCTCAAGCAGTCTTCCTTCCTGAGTAGCTGTGACTACAGGCACTCACCACAACACCCAACTAGTTTTTCTTTTTAGTAGAGATGGGGATCTGGCTCTTATTTAAGCTGGTCTCAAACTCCTGAGCTCAAAGATCTTCCCTCCTCAGCCTCCCAAAGAGTTTAGGATTACAATTGTGAGCCACTGCACCTAGCCTAAAGTGGATTTTTTTTTAAGGCAGAGTTCAGGCAGCTTGGTTGAATTGAACCCAAGAAATCCCTTGAATAATGATAAAAATACCATGTTACATTTTATAGTTAAAATTTTAGAAAGTAGCAGAGTGCAGTGGCTCACACCTGTAATCCCAGCACTCTGGGAGGCCGAGGTGAGTAGAATGCCTGAGGTCATGGGTTTGAGACCAGCCTGAGTCAGAGTGAGACTTTGTCTTTAAAAATAGCTGGTTGTTTGTTATGGAAGGCACCTGTAGTCCCAGCTACTTGGGAGGCTGAGGCAAGAGTATTGCTTTAAGCCCAAGAGTTTGTGGTTGCTGTGAGCTATGACGCCACAGCACTCTACTTATAACAACAAAGTGAGACTCTGTCTCAAAAAAAAATTATTTTTTGAGAAAATTCTTTTAGTGAGTTTTATCATTTGTTCTTCACAAAGTTACACTTTTTTAGATCAGTAAATTAAGTTTCATAAATCTCCTAGTAGATCTCTGTTGCAAATAATAGTCACTTAAAGGAAAAATCCCACAAATAGTGGCATTCACTAATGTATTTTGATGTCTTTTTTAAAATCTATATCTAATGTTTCTTTATGAAAATTAAAAGTTGTTTTAGCTATTCACTAGCTAAACGCCCGAAGATTCCTTGAAGTCTGGCTTATTCAGCTAATGTGACTCTATTATGAAATAGGCAGACTTCTGTCTTGATTGCTTTTCTTTAGATCCATTCCAAAGCCCATCAAAAGACTGAGAAACCAGGGTTTTCTCTTGATGCTCATTATGATTTTCCTAATTTTTCCGTGCTGAAGTGCCACAGCATTATAATTGTATGTATTCATATTCAACAAAAGAATGTGTAAAATTAATACCCGACACATTGCCACATCCATATTACTCCCTTTTCTTCAACTAGATGTGATTTTTTTAAAAGTATTTTTCAATACACTTAAAAAGTTGCCAGATGTGTTGGCGCACACCTGTAGTTCAAGTCCCAGCTACTCGGAAGGCTGAGACAGGAGGATCGCTTGAGTCCAGGAGTTCTGGGCTGTGGTGCGCTATGCTGATTAGGTTTCTGCACTAAGTTTGGCATCAATATGGTGAACTCACAGGAGCGGGGCTGCACCAGGTTGCCTAAGGAGGAGTAAACCAGTGCAGGTTGGAAATGGAGCAGTCAAAACTCCCATGCTAAGAGATGCTTAAAAAGTAGTAAAAGAAAAGGAAGTAATTTTAGGACTGAAAATTCAGTCAAGTTCTTCATTTCTTTAGAGCTAGGGCAGAGGTGGGGGAGAAATGCAGAAGGTAGTTAAGCCAAAGGTGGACCCTCACATACTTCTGTACTCAATTTATCATCTCAACCCCTTTGCTCACTGCCCCAGCCACAATGCTAAGCAACATTTTATCACGGCAGTATACATGGATGTCAAATTGTTAGGATTCAAAGGAGATGAGGAGTATTTTCCATCACATTAACCTGCCGTATTCATGGTCTTCCTTGAATTACTTTCCAGTCTTTACTGGGCTTCACTTATGTCTAGCTTAACTTTTTCTGACTACCAGTTGGTGCTAGGAATTTGTTGGTCACTCAGCAACATAACCCAAATCACAGGGGAAGATTTGAAATATCTCGAGAGACTCATCTGCTCTGAATATACTCACTCAATCCAAAGAAGTACCAGAAAACTAAATCTATGTGCTGAGATGTGGAGTTTTGTCAGCTTTTTTCACTGTGGACAATACAGCTGGATTGAAAAGAAATTAAAAACCCAACAAGAAATGCAAATAAAAGTGCAAGAGTTGGTTTGTGCTCATCTGGAGCCCACATCTCCCAGGCTTTGATGGACCTACCAAATGTTGCAGTTTGTCAGATTGAATGATGACACTATCAGAAGGCCTACAGGAATACAGTGTTGCTGTGACTCCATGTTGTTTAAAGCAAACCATCTACCAGCTGGAGAAGGAATCATTTGTAACAGGTATTTTAGAATTCATTAACCTCTAATATCTGTAATAGAATGGATTTTGTAATAGGGAAAACAAAAGAATTCAGATCCTCTTTTTCAATCCAGTTTATGAATAATACGTACCTGCTGTATTTAAATTGTCATTTATCTCATTTGTAGTGATAAAAATCTAATACTTCTTTATATTTCTCAATTTAATACTTTTTAATAGCTGTGGAAAGTGATTGTAGTTTTATTTTTTTTCTTTAACTTTTTTTCCTTTCCTTTTTTAACCCCTCCAAGTAGAGACTCTGTCTCACTTTATCACCCTCGGTAGAATGCCATGGCGTCACAGCTCACAGCAACCTTCAACTCCTGGGCTTAGCCGATTCTCTTGCCTCAGCCTCCCAAGTAGCTGGGACTACAGGCGCCCGCCACAATGCCCGGTTATTTTTTTGTTGTTGCAGTTCATCTGGGGCCGGGTTTTAACCCAATGCCCTCCGTGTATGGGGCTGGCACCCTACCCACTGAGCCACAGGTGCCGTTGCCTCTCCCCCCCCCCCCTTTTTTTTAAGATAAAGTCTCATTCTGTCACCCTGGGTACAGTGCCATGGTGTCAACTCACAGCAACCTCAAACTCCTGGGCTTAATGATCCTCCTGCCTCGGCTTCTTGAGTAGTTGGAATTACAGACTCTTACCGCAATCTTACCACAACACTGTGCTAATTTTTATCATTTTTTTGTTTGTTTGTTTTGTATTTTGAGACAGAGTCTCAAGCTGTTGCCCTGAGTAGAGTGCTATGGCATCATAGCTCACAGCAACCTCTAACTCACACTCAAGGAGTCGTCTTGCCTCACTTTTTCTATTTTTTAGTAGAGACAGTGTCTCGCTTTTGCTCAGGTTGGCCTTGAACTCATGAGCTCAAGCAGTCCACCTGCCTTGGTTTCCCAGAGTGCTAAGATTACAGGTGTGAGCCACTGCATCCAGCTTGTAATTTTTCTATTTTTAGTAGAGATGCAGTCTCACTCTTGCTTAGTCTGGTCTCAAACTCCTAAGCACAAGGGCTCCTCCTGCCTCTGCCTTTCAAAGTGCTAGCGTTACAGGGGTGAGGTTTTTTTTGTTTGTTTGTTGTTGTTCTTTTGAGGCAGTCTCACTGTGTTGCCCTTGGTAGAGTACTGAGGCATCACAGCTCACAGCAACCTTAAACTCTTGGGGTTAAGCAATTTTCTTGCCTCAGCCTCCCAGTAGCTGGGACTACACTCACCTGCCACAACACCCAGCTATTTTTTTGTCATAATTGTTGTTTTGCAGGCCCAGACCAGGTTTGAACCCACCAGCCCTTATGTATGTGGCTGGTGCTATGGGTGCCAAGCCCCCACCTTTTTCCTTTAAATACTGACAATCTGATTTAGAAATCTCTAGCCTTAATTCCTTTTTTTTTTTTTTTTAAAGATAGTCTCGCTTTTTCATCCTCAGAGTACTGGAGGCATCATAGCTCACAGTAACCTCAAACTGTTGGGTTTAAGTGATTATCTCGCCTCAGCCTCCTGAGGGATTACAAGCGTCCGCTGTGGCACCCAGCTATTTTTCCCATGAGCTCAGGCAATCCCTTAGCCTCCCAGAGTGACTAGGTGTGAGCCCCCTGCGCCCGGCCTCAAAATAACTTAAAAATACATGTCTTATACTATGAAAGAATCCTAAATTTCGGAATTGCATCACAAATTTACTACTACTTAATATCCCTTTAAACTAGTTTCTGGTTCTATTAAATAAAATCAGAGACAACTAAAGTTAAATTTACAAATAGGAAGTGATACTTTTTTGAGTGATAGAATCTTACTATATAAAAAGAAACATGTTTTTTCCTTTTTCATATTTGAAAAGGAACTTAATGTAACTATTAACAGGCCCTCCAGCCCTGTTTTTAACTTCTTTTTTTTCTCCTTTTTTTAGGAACAAGGGGATTTGTTCCTCATACTAAGGGATGTTACAGTGAAGATGAGTTTTTGAACTCTTGGAAGGCAGGAAGGAGAAGCTACTTAATCTTCAAGATTAAAACCAAGAACTAACGCACTTTGGGGAAAAGAATGCTTTAGTACTTGAAGATTGAATAATGAATACCTGCTGAATGTTCTTATTGAGGTTTTTCCTAAATAAACTTCAATGGCATCTTAGGACAGTTTACTGCAGAAACTTTGATCCCTGGGTGGAGTATCCTACCACTGGCCCATTTGAAGAGTTACATCTGGATTTGACTGCTCTATTCTACCTGGAATATTGTTAGGCTAGTCTTTAAACCAGTTTCTAAACAGTTGTAATCATTAATTAACCCAACCATTCCTCAAATGTAAGATTAAAAGATGATGGGGAAAAAAATTAAAAGATGAATAGATGTAATTTATTTAGAGTTTCCCTGATTAAAGGCAGTGGTGTTGTCTAATAGTTTGACTGACAGTGTAACTTATGTTTCCTTTTGAGTTTGTTAGTGATAGTTTTCCATTTGAAAGCCATTGGTTTTTTCATTGTAACAATCAGATTATTCACCGTAATGAGATTACATAAGCAAACCCCAATGATTTAGTCATGTTTAAGAATGGTTGTAGGACTTGAAACCAGATTCTGACGAAATAAGAGTCATTTCTGTGTAGTTAATTGATAGTTTCTTTTTTTTTTTTTTTAAGACAGAGCCTCAAGCTATCCCACTGGGTAGAGTGCCATGGCATCACGCTCACAGCAACCTCCAACTCCTGGGCTCAAGCGAGTCTCCTGTCTCAGC